AATAAATTCTACTAGACGGGTTGGGGGATTAAACTACATTGTATCAATTGTAGAGGTCCACGCTCACACACGACCCAAAAAGAGTTGTAGTATGGAAATAAGTAGAAGTTTCACCTACCTAGACAAGACATTCTAGGTCAACAGGCATGTATATGACATCCATATCAGAGACACTACCACAGTTTCATAACTTTTCTTCGTACAGGTAATTTTCACAATTCTCATTTCAAGAACTACGGGAGACTGAAAGGAGCAGTGTGCATGACGCCAATAGGTAGTAAAATTCCCCTTCAATCTGCCAAGACCAATATGCTGCAGCCCTGTCTGCTGCATTCCTCCTCTGCACAGCTCACACACACACACCGCCATTTAAGGAGACCCAAGGTGCTGACAGACTGAGAAAGGAGAGACAGATAAAACCGGACAGCACTTCTGATTTTTTACATGACAAAGTGAGCACTTGATCACCTTTGTTATTTGTGTATCATTGAGTCTCTATGGGATATCTGTGAAGCTCTGATGTCACTGTCGCAATATATTATACTGATGTAATAGGTGGACAGTTCAAACTACTATGAATAACTTTGTTGGAAGAAATCTGAGATGTCCTGTCTGCATTCCTGTGTAATCATTCTGGAGAAATTGTTAATTACATGACATCATAATAGGTACTGAGATTAGTCAATCATTGTGTATTACTCAGCCTTGGCCGAAGTGAAGTGAGTAAAGATGTGATTCACACTGACAGTGTGTGAGGCAGCTGGGTTAACAGGATGTGATGCATGCTTCCCTCTGTTGGACAACTAGGACAACTACTACTGCACAAACTTCTTTTAAAAAGAAGAAAACATGCTTTTTTATTGAGTTAATATATTTCATTTTGTATTACAGAATTCTGTACTACTGCTGACAAAAATATATATGTAGTTATACTTCCAAAGTTTAAAAAGAAAATGGAGCATTCTTCATATAAAACAAATGATCTCATAAGTTAATTTTTCTTTACTTTCAAGCGACATTTCACTGTGTTACATATTATAATGTATGTTCATTTATTTGTATTTAAACATACATTTGTTTGTGCTTTCTCAAAAACAGATAGATGTTAATGTTTCGCACAAAATAAATGTGAGAAATGTGCAATTTGCTTGAAAGCAGGTCAAAATACTGAATTTATTTGAATTGTCTTTGTTTAATTTTGTGTTATGTTTTGTGCTGACTTGTTGGTAGATATAGAGAGTGGTTAGGTAGATAGATCTATATGTAAGATGTGCATGAAGGTAAAGGTAAGTCTTAGAGTCAGAATGTTGCATATGTTTGACAGGGCGTTATATACATTCATATCAGTGTGCTTGTATTTGCAGTTAATATGTTAAGATCTAGTTAAAACATTTTGATGGATATTGCTATCTTGTGACTACAGGAACATCTGTATTAGCTTTGTTTGACCACTTGATGGCACTCTTTTTACAAATACCAGTGAATTGAGACTGAGCTGAGCTGTTGGATCACTCAAGCTGCTGGTACGAAAGTGAGGAGATATTTAACAGACATTTAACAAAGTATGTGAGTTTAGAAAGAAAAACCGAAGCACTATTCCATACCAAACCCCATTATCAGTGTGTTTCTTTGTTGTAATGACTGTTTTAACATCTGCGTTTCTTTAACTCTATCCACGCATGCCTCAGTCTATAGAATTGTTTGAGTGTGATGAGCTTACCTTCCTCCCAGAGAACAGCATGCACAGCTGATGCATGGAGCCTCCACTCTTGGTCAGCTCCTTCTTCAGGGTTTTGGGTGAGGGGAGTGTCCAGCCGCCCTTGTGGTGCGCCCCCCCGGCCTCCAGGCAGTTGATGGCGTTGTCGGAGGTGAAACAAGGCGTGCGGGGGTCCTGCAGGAGGCTGCCCTCGCTGTGGGTGCGCCTGCGGAGGGAGTTCTGCACGCTGAGCCGCCCCCCCCCATGCTTCTCACAGGTGGCCCCCTCCACCATGCTGCGGCGCTTGCTGTCGCTACGCTGCAGGTAGGCATCGTCACTGTCGTCTTCATCGTCCTCTTCCTCGGACTCTTCGTCGTCGTCGTCGTCTTCTTCGTCGTACTCTTCTTCATCGGTGTTGGGTGAGGAGAGGGCGTCGGCGCTGAAGGAGCGGTCGAGGCGCAGCTCGGGGATGACAAATGAGGAGGATGAGGAGGAAGGGGGGGCGTTGGTTTCTAGTGGCTCAGAGGCGTTTTCTTCATCAGTGTTGCACACCACCAGGTTTAGGTTGACCTCCTCTTCATTCCTCTCTCCCTCATCCTCTCCTTCCCCCTCTTCTTCCACTTTCTCTCCGCCCTCACTGCCGACACTCTTTTTGCTGGCCCAATCATCTTCATCTTCCTCCCTACTGCTCTCCAACGTACTCACCTCCCTCCAGATCTCCATCTCGTTGCCCTCCATGCTCCTCCAGTCCTCACCCTCAGTGGATGGAGGTGGTGTGGGAGGCACCTTGTGTCTATCCCCAGACCCCATGAGTCCCCCAAGAGGCATGTAGACCTCATCCAGAGGGGTGAGAGGCTCTGAGGTGTGAGGGCTGCCCAGGTTTGGGGGCTCTGAGGGACTGGAGGGGTACAGGCTGCTTTCCTCACCCTCTGAGCTGCGGGGGGGCATGTGCAGGCACACACCACCGTGATCTCCTCCGACTCCGCCCAGCTCACAGGAAGGGGCATCATCCTTAGGCTCCAACATCTAGAAAGAGAAAAAAACAGAGGGGGAGAAATGTTAATCCAAGCTGTTTGTTTCCAATTGGTTTAACTCAAAGCATGACTGAGATATACCATGAGCAAAATGCACTCATCCCAAATAATAGCAGACATTGAATTTAGTTTTCGTAAAGCCAGGATCAAACTAGATGACATAGAGTATGTTTTTCTTTTGAGAACGTCACATTGTCAGATTCAACAGGAGGTGCTGGAATATCTACAACCATGGCATCACGAAGATTCAAAATTCAAAGGTGTTATTGTCATAAGTGCACATAAGCTACAGTGTAGGAATGGCAATGAAATTCCTCTGACCCGAGCTCCTCCAACAATGCAACATATACAAAAATACAAATAAAAAAAAGTGGAAGAAGTCTATATAAATAGAATATGATATGTACAAGAACATAATATGAAATTAAATAATGTACATTAAGACTAAATTAAATACGGTTTATTGCGGTGATAACTATTTATATAAATAAGTAGATTGCAAGATGACAAACAATGAATGTTTATCGGGGCACTTAACAGAGCTCAGGTGTTTAGCAGTCTTATTGCCTGTGGGATAAAGGCTATGGCAGATTTGTATGGTGTCAAACTAGGCAAAAACAGAATGAGGACTTTAAATGTTGGTCTTTCCATCATTTTTCTACGTAGGAAAAAAAAAAAATGTTTCCTCTAAATGCTGTTTTTGTATACAAAACAGAAATAATGCTGTCAGAGACAACATTGTGATATCAGTGCCAGTGAGTTGACATTGGGATGTGGGCTTCCTGTTGTTTTCCTGCTACTGTGCCACACTGGAGCTCGCTCCACTGATTCACTCAGACTGACTGGTTCTGTGCCCTTGGGGACATTGGACACGAAAAGAAGCCAAACCTCTTGCAGAAATGGATGATATTACTGCTACAAAGTATTAGCCACCCATCTGTTCTCATCTATCTTCTCTAAAATGTTTCCATCATTTAAAACATACTGTGATTTTCCTTATAACCAAAATGACCACACACTCACAAGAACTCCACACCCTTGCTCACTTTCAAGGCTCAACCACAATATTCTGCAATATATTCGTCTTCACCCTCTGCCTTTAGCAATGTCTTTGACTTCCTTCCCAAAATCGGCTGATATGAAATGCTGCTTTAACCTACTGCAGCCCACAGAGCCCTCAGTGGGAGGATCATCTAATATTCGAACCCACACAATAGATAACAAAGTTGCTGAATATTTAAAGCTGAATAAAGAAAAATGTTTTAAAGTTATGCACACAACTTTGTTCTGTTGTTTCTCCAAACATAATTCATCATAACTCACAAAAAGTAGTTACTTTAAAGAGTAAAAACTGTCTCATCAGTTTGGAGTTTTTTCTCATTACGAACAAAAGTCACATTTAACAAGATCACATTGGTTCAACTGTGTAGTGATATTCCCATTGATGTCAACCATGTCCTAATCCACATGCTAGTAGCTATTCAACACATTATGGTTGTGCTCCAGTAAACATGGCTTAAAGAACATGGAGTCACAAACTAATACTTTCATAGGACATGATTCAAAACATCAGGTACGACAGACGTGAACATAAATATAGTCCATGGCCATGACAATTAACAGCATGTAACTGAGTGGATTTGTGAAATAACAAATCTTCAGCTCAGGCCATAAAATCAATTCTACTATCTATAAATCTGAAGCAGGACTTGTGAAGAGCCTCATTGTGCTGGTCCATTTAAGTAGCTGCAGTCACATGACGCTCTGCTCTAATTGGAGATAATGCTGCCTCCTCAGAGACAGCTCCCATGATATTTCACAAGCTGTATGTCTACTTTTGCAGCTCAAATGAGTCTCCCCAGACACTGTTGCCCTGGTTGTACTCTTCTTTAAACTTTTCATCTGTACTCATGAACTCTGAAAATAGCTTTTGGCAAATTAAATAAGGAGGATCAACTCAGAAAACCATACTAAAGTTAGTATCCGGAATTGTAGCGTATACTGTGCATCATTTATAAAAGAATGAATGTTAAGAACACAAATGAGTCTTTGTTGCTTTTGTTTCTTAGTGTAGGGCCTGCACTAGAAACATAAGTAATGTATGTCTTTATTTGTATATTGAATGCTGTGAATTATGATCTCTTTCTAAATATATTAAAATAATGTAAGCATAATTTCAATACGTTGGTCTTGATAAAGGACACAAAGGTCTGAGATTAAGGTCGCTGCTGCAAAAATATTGACGTCATATGTGTGTAATGTCTGTGGAAAACCTCAAGGCTTCGACTCTTCGAAACTGAATCACTGTACAAAGATTATATATAAACCAATGTTCTGGCTTTGACTGCAGCCTGAATTAATGGCTGACTTACTTCAACTGTATAACACATAACATCTGATCAGCTCCACAACAGTCACGACCTAATTATGTATAACACATTAGGAAAGGTCTGGCATGCTGTAAAGCAGGGGTGGGGAACCTTTTTCCTCTCAAGGGCCATTTACATTTTTCCAACACCCTTCGAGGGCCGTACCAATTATTGACCTCTGCTTAAAAATACTAAAATCACTGCCCATTCATTTGGCCTTTCTTTCATGCTGTGCAAAGAAAAAGCAAACTCTCAATCCAGATATCTTA